GGCCCCAGGTTGGACGTCGCTGCGAGGCACTTGTCTCCAGGTCAGCCAGCCCTCGGCCCTGCGGCTGGGAGGGGTCATCCCAGCAGTCTGATTACAAGCTCTGTGCCCCCAGGACTGCCCAGGCCCAGCAGTTGTCTAGCTGTGAATGTCATTAGCGGCTCCGCAGCCTCAGGACTAACAAGTGGCTAATTGGCCTCTCGTTATCAGCTGCACTAGTAATGAGCATGTGGGTGACTTTGTGGTGCCGGTCCTTGTGGATGCAAACTGATGCTCAGAAGACGGCTGGGGTAGGGCACGGGGAGACCAGGGAAGGGAGGCATAGCTCACGGGATGCCAGCCCAGAGCCCTCGATTGGGGGCCGGTGGGCTGGGGCCCCGGGCTGGGGACCGTGGGCGATATCTGGTGTCCCGGGCTGGGGACCGTGGGCGATATCTGGGGTCCCGGGCTGGGGACCGTGGGCGGTATCTGGGGCCCCGGGCTGGGGACCGTGGGCGATATCTGGTGTCCCGGGCCGGGGACCGTGGGCGGTATCTGGTGTCCCGGGCCGGGGACCGTGGGCGGTATCTGGTGTCCCGGGCCGGGGACCGTGGGCGGTATCTGGGGCCCCGGGCCGGGGACCGTGGGCGGTATCTGGGGTCCCGGGCCGGGGACCGTGGGCGGTATCTGGGGTCCCGGGCCGGGGACCGTGGGCGATATCTGGGGCCCCGGGCCGGGGACCGTGGGCGATATCTGGGGTCCCGGGCTGGGGACCGTGGGCAATATCTGGTGTCCCGGGCTGGGGACCATGGGTGATATCTGTGGTCCCGGGCTGGTCACTGTGGGTAATGGCCGGGGTCCTGGGCTGGTGAGCATTGTGATGGCTGAGGTCCTGGGCTGTGGACCATGGGTGGTAGCCTAGGGTTCTGGGCTGGTGACTGTAGGTGATGGCTGGGGTCCTGGGCTGATAGTGGCTGTTCCCGAGGCCTGGGGTAGCCATGGGCACACCCGGTGCCTGTGGAGAGATGCCCTCTGCTTCTCCGGGGTCCTGTTGCTCTTCTCCAGGTGGTGAGTCACGCTCACCTGGTGAAGGTAGGAGGGCACTGGAGTGAGACCTCTGCAGCCTCTCGTGTCGGGCCTTGCCGCGTCCCCAGGGCTGGAGCCCTCGTCAGTCCCGAGGCAGAGCTCTCTGGGGGCGCCTGTAGACACCTGGGCTCTCTGTGGCCATGCTGCTGACACTGTGTCCCTGGGATACTGTCCTAGGAGACCCGAGTTCGAATCTCGCTGCTGAGCAAGTCACTTGCCCCCCTGGGCTCCCTGGCCCTTCGTGTCTGGTTGTGTGGGAGTTAGAGTAGGGGCTGGGAGGGGAGGGCTTGTTTGTCCCTCTCCTGAGGACTTCTGAGTGCTCTGGGTGGGCCTGGGGTGCCCGGGCATCGGGCTGGGCAGCACTGGGGAGCTCGGGCACCTCCCCGCAGAGGGCGAGGCCAGGCCATGGCCCTTGAGGGTGATGGAGGAGGCCGGGGTGACACTGGACCGTGGCAGCAGGGGACCAGGCACTCCAGTCACCAGAACCCCAGTAAGGGAGAACGGTGCTGCTCACTAGGGCCCAGGCCTCCAGCCTCAGGTTCCAAGGCTGACCAGTGCCTGGCCGACCGTTCCAGCAGGCCCAGTCCAGGGCTGGGCCCTGTGTGTCCTCTGCTGGGAGAATGTAGTGATGGGAGGGGAAGAGGAAGAACGTGGATGAGAGGGAAGACGGTGCAGTGGGCGAGAGACACGGAGGGCGGCAGCGGCTCTGGCCCCTCCCCCGAGGCAGCTGGGAGGAGCCAGGGAGCAGCTCCTTCGACCAGGGAGGGCAGGAGAAAGCAGGACACTCGGCTTCCATGGGGTGGGCGCTCTGGTTAGCGCTGCTGTTCCTGCTGTCAGCCATGGCTGGGGAGGGTTTGCAGTGAAAAATGTCAGAGGCCAGAGGCCTGTGTGAGGGTGTGCACCTCCCCTGGGGGTGTGAGGGTGTGCACTGCCCCCAGCACTATGTGGGTGTGCAGTGCCCCAGGGGGTGTGAGGGTGTGCACCTCCCCCGGGGGTGTGTGAGTGTGCACTGCCCCTGGGGGTTTGAGGGTGCATGGCCCCCGGGGGTGTGAGGGTGTGCAGTGCCCCCGGGGGTGTGAGGGTGTGCAGTGCCCCCGGGGGTGTGAGTGTGCAGTGCCCCCGGGGGTGTGAGTGTGCACTGTCCCCGGGGTGTGAGGGGGTGCACCTCCCCTGGGGGTGTGAGGGTGTGCACCTCCCCTGGGGGTGTGAGGGTCTGCACTGCCCCCGGGGGTGTGAGTGTGTGCACTGTCCCTGGGGGTGTGAGGGTGTACAGTGCCCCCGGGGGTGTGAGGGTGTGCACTGTCCCCGGGGGTGTGAGGGTCTGCACTGTCCCCGGGGGTGTGAGGGTGTGCACCTCCCCCGGGGGTGTGAGGGTGTGCACTGTCCCCGGGGGTGTGAGGGTGTGCACTGTCCCCGGGGTGTGAGTGTGCAGTGCCCCTGGGGGTGTGAGGGTGTGCAGTGCCCCCGGGGGTGTGAGGGTGTGTGCTGCCCCCCAGCACTAGCTGGCTGGGTCCTGTCTGCCCAGGGGAGGAGGCCGCGTGTGCTCACTGTCCGGTTCCAGGGTGGTGGACGCCCCTCAGGCTGCGCCCGCGCCGGCACCGGCCTTTTCCGCAGGTGCTTCCACAGGGTGGACCCAGCTCGAGCACCTGGGTGCTGTTTGTTGTGGGGGCAGAGCTTCCGCGGAGCTGGGACGGCAGGCTGTGGCGCCCACGCGCGTGTGCGTGAAGGGCCTGAGTCGTCAGCTGAAGCTGGCAGTGAAGAGGGAGGTGGGTGGCGGTGGGCCCAGGCCCGGGCCACTCCTCGCTGCACGTGCTGGCTTGGGGAATTTGGGAATTCTTAATTTGAAGGCGGCCTCCCATGGACCACAGAGGTGTGTGTGAGCTTGCGTCAAAGAGTTCGTGGAGAAACGGAATTTAAAGTTTTATTTGGCTCAAAAATTCTTAAAAATCCATGCGTAGTTTTTTTATAGAATACATTTTCCATGAAATTTTTTCCCTTTAAACATTTATTTGAAAGAATCATTCACTCCTCAGATGGCCACAATGGCCAGGGCTGGACCAGGCCAAAGCCAGGAGCTTCTGGGTCTCCCACGTGGGTGACTTGGGCCATTTTTTTTTTTTTGACAGGCAGAGTGGACAGTGAGAGAGAGACAGGGAGAAAGGTCTTCCTTTGCCGTTGGTTCACCCTCCCATGGCTGCTGCGGTCGGTGCACCGCACTGATCCGAAGCCAGGAGCCAGGTGCTTCTCCTGGTCTCCCATGGGGTGCAGGGCCCAAGCACCTGGGCCATCCTCCACTGCACTCCCGGGCCACAGCAGAGAGCTGGCCTGGAAGAGGGGCAACCGGGACAGAATCCGGCGCCCCGACCGGGACTAGAACCTGGTGTGCCGGCGCCGCAAGGCGGAGGATTAGCCTAGTGAGCCGCGGTGCCGGCTGACTTGGGCCAACTTTTGCTGCTTTTCTCAGGCCATTAACAGAGAGCTGGATTAGAAGTGGAGCATCTGGGACTCGAACCGGTGTCCCCATCGGATGCCAGTGCTGCAGGTGGAGGCTTAGCCCACTATGCTACCACGCCGGCCCGGAGGGCCACCCCCCCCCCCCCATATACTTGCGTTTCACAAGAAACTGACCTAATTCCATTTCTGTGGACTCTCTGAGGTTCTGTCTCTGTCAGGGCCAGGAAGGGGAGCACCTTTTGTTTGGCAGTTGCCGGGTTTGATTGATGGCTGCCAGACCCTGGGGAGGGCGCAGACGCATGGTGTGAAGGGTGCGCCCAGGTTTCTTCATGTTTCCCAGGGCCGCCCCCCCCGCCAGGGCCACCCCCTGCCAGGGCCACCCCCCACCCCCGCCAGGGCCGCCGCCCCCCGCCACGGAGCACGAGCCGGGTGGAGGCGACTTTCTCAGAAGGGGACTTTATTTCTCCTCTGGTTCTGCTCTGCAAATCCGCCCGGCACTGAAGACACATCGGGAAACATCGACTCTCGGCCCTTTTTTTTTCTTTTTTTGGTTTTTGGTACAAAATGATACAAACAACGATACAAAATAGTTGTGCTGTTGACGATTACAAAAAACGTTGGAACACCTGCCTCGGGGCGCTGCGCCCGCCCGAGGTGCAGTGTGAATCCGTCATAGCCGGTCTCTCCCAAACAAGCACAGTCATGCGGCTGCTACACGTTTTGTCCATTGTCCGAAAGAAACATGCAAAAGAGACCCGGGATGGAGGAGGGAGAGAGGAGAAGTCAGACGCGTCCCAGGACGCAGAGGCGGCGCCCCCGGCCCGGCGCCCAGCTATGCACGCTGCTGCCACTTCCCGCACGGTGACCGTGACCGAGACGCCCAGGGCTGTCATCGCGCGCTCGGAACCCGAGGCCGCCCGGGGCCCGCAGACCGCCTCGGACACTGGTGCTTTGGGATGTGCTGAGACACGGCAGCAGCTCCGGCTGGCCAGGTGTCTCCCGTCTGCAGGGGGGAGAGACGGCGCCGAGCTGCACTCCCCGCCCGGCCCACGCCCGGCCCACGCCCTGCCCTCGCACTTGTCTTATCTATGAGCTACAGAAGGGAGATGCTGGACACGGTACGTCTAACTAGTGTCAATCGGGGAGGCCATGAAAGCCCGTGTTTCTGTGGCCCCCAGGGGGCTGGCTGGAGGAAGCCCTCACCGGCGGCGCCACACTTCAGCCTGTGTGACTTAGGGCAGATGCGAGGGGGGCCTGGCAGTGACGAGAAAAGGCAAGGGGAGGGGGTGGGGGCCGGGGAGGCAGGCAGGGCAGCCGAGCCCGGCAGCTGGCGGAGCTGGCGTCTTGGGACCAAGGTGTGGCCAGGCCTGGTACATCGGTCCTGGGCCATGAGCCCAGGGCACGGGGGCCCCCGGAAGCCCTGAGATTGCGGAGAGGAGCGTGCCTGGCGCCCGGCCGCTCGCGCCTGGGACGGTGCTCTCCCACCGCGGGCTCAGGACTTCCACTGAGGATGAATTTGAACTTTTCCAAAACAACGAAAACCCAAAACTCCAGCCCCACCCCTCACACTGGCCCATAGGGCTCCCTCCAGTGGCCACGCCCCAAGCACTCAGGACCATTCTCATTGGCTACCAGGCCCGAGCAATTTGCATAGCACAGCTTAGGTCCCCGCATGCCATCCCTGGATGTCTGAGTCTCCCTGGGCCTGGCTGTATGCACAGGGCAGGGCAGCCAGTGACGAGTGACCCTTGGGGCCCCGCCCTCCCCGGCACCCGCAGAGGGTAGGAGTGGCCCAGGCCGGCTCTGGGGAGAGGGCCGGGGGTGGTGATGAGTTTGGGGAAGAACCCTGACGTCCTGTGGGCACACACGAGTGTGGCACATACGTCCACTCCGTGTGTCTCCGAGGCCAAAGCTGTTTAGGAAAGCGGCAGACTTGGGGCTGAGGGAAGCCATGGCCTGAGACTCCGCCCCTGGCAGCAGGTGCGGTCTGGGCTCCAGGGGGGCTTCCGGGGCTGAGGGAAGCCATGGCCCCAGACCCCGCTCCCGGCAGCAGGTGTGGTCTGGGCTCCAGGGGGGCTTCCGGGGCTGAGGGAAGCCATGGCCCGAGATCCCGCCCCCAGCAGCAGGTGCAGTCTGGGCTCCAGGGGGGCTTCCTTGCCCTTTGCTGGTGCTGGAGCCCCCCTCCCCTTCCTTGGGGGGCGTGACATCAGCGACACGGAGGGAGCCAGCACGCTGGCTGGTCTGAGCTGAACTGGTGCTGGCCTCCCGCCCCACAGGTCCTACAGCCCCTGTCTCGCAGCAGTGGCCGCCTCCTGCCCCAGCCTGGCCTGAGGGTGGCCTCACCTCTGGGGAGAGTAAGGCGTCACGTGGGGACAGCGCCAGAGCCGTCCCTGCCGCTGCTCGCTGGCCGCGGCTTCTGAGGAAGGGGTCCACGGTTAGGGGGCGGGTCCTGCCGTCCACACCGGCTCAGCAGCCCCGATGGGACTCAGGTCCAAACGGCCAGGGGAAGCAAAGGGGCCACGAGAGTCCGTGCGGGGACTGGTTCTCGGCCCGCCCTCGGTGAGAGGTGGTGTGGGGCGGGGGGCAGAGGCGTGCTGTGTGCAGGGGGCCCTCGGCGCTGGGTGGCGAGGGGTCAGGTGCTGGCACGCTGGGCAGTGGCCTCTCCCCACTGAAGCCGAGGGGACCTGGGGGCACTGGGGTGCCAACTGGCCCCCAGGGAGGACTGTGGGTGACTGGGAGCACTAAGCGGTGGTCTCTGGGGACCCCCCCCGGCTATTTACAGCATCTGGGAGTGCTAAGGGGGCCGAGGGCTGGGCCGGCCCTAGGGGGACTTCGTCCTCTGAGCTTTGCAGGCCCCCGGCCATGTGCAGCAAAGGCTGCTGGGATTTGGACCTCAAACTATTTTTGTTTCAAAGGAATCACTTTCTTAAACATGAAAAAAAAAAAAAGGCCACAGTCCCCCATCCCGAGCTGGCGCCCCCAGAGCCGGGCCAGGCGTGGCCCGCCCGTCTGCCCACGTGCTCCTGAGTTTGAGGGACTGACACATGTACCAAAAGGCACTTCCTTTTTTTTTTAAACAGTGCTTCTGCTCTAAGAAATTCAAGTTAAGACAGTGCCTCTCGCTCACTCTCGGGCCTGGCGGGGGCGGGGTCTGTGCCGGGCGGGGCGGGGCCTCCGCCGGCCACCGTCCACGGCACGAGGCCCGCTAGTCCTGGTCGCCGCCCCCGTACATGTCGGCCAGCTTCTTGAACCTGGGCCCCCAGTCGTTGAGGTAATCGTAGTCCTGGTCCCCGGAGCTGGACGAGTTGAGGGAGCTGACGGAGCCCGCCGTAGAGCCGCTGCCCTCGTAGTCGAAGACCAGCAGGGAGTCGTATGGGGGCGCAGTGGGGTCGTTGTCTGCTGCCCGAAGCCCCTGGGGGCCAGAGACTGTGGTTAGGCGGTGGGGGGGGGGCTCGCATCCAGCAGCTGCCGGTAAGCGCTGAGTCCCCCTGGGGCTGACAGGGACCCGGGGACCAGGAGCCAGGAAGTGGGGTTGTGAGGTGAGACCCCCCTACGCGGCTGGGCCGTGGCCTCGCCTTCAGCCCCAAGAACGGGGACTGGTTCTCAGCCCAGCCCGGGGGAGGCTTTAGCAACACCACGACACCACTGTGTGCATCGAGGCCGGGGCCACGGCAGTCACACCAGGCTTCCAGACCCCTCATCACCGCTGGGCGCTGGGCCTCCCTGGGGCTGTGCTGGATACCTGGTGGGGCGGGCAGCCGGGGCTGAGGCCAGACCTGACACTGCTCGGACCGGACCCCCCACCCAGAGCTGCTCCGGGCAGCAGCAAGGCCCTGAACCCTGGCACTGTCCTGCTGCTGCCCCGAGTTCTGCTCTGTGCATAGCCTGGCCCAGAGGCAGGCATCAGCGTCTCTGGACAGGAGGACGTGGGGAGGCGAACTCCCCAGGCCCTGCAGCTGCCCCGCCCCCCGCCAGGGGCACCCACCTCGCTGATGAAGTCTCCGATGTCCCCCGGGTGGGGCACAACGGGCCTGGCCGGGTACTGGGGCTCGGCGCCCACGGGCCGCTCGTCCACCCGCCGCACGCCGGGGGCCTTGCTCAGGGCGTGCTCCGCGACCTCGGGCTGCTGCAGCTGGCTGAGGTCGTAGTCCTGCGGGACAGTGGCGTTGGGGGACTGCGTGAGCCGCGGCCAGGAGGACCCACGGCGCCCACCCCTCCCACCAGCGCCCAGCCTCTTCGTCTGCTCCTGTCTGTGTGTGCTTCAGGCAGGCGTGGGGTCAGAGCCTGCATGGCCTGGCACCCCCACCCCCACCGAGCGAGCCCACCTCGGCCCTCGCTGCTCAGGGGCCTCTGAACACGGCCGGCCGTGCTCGGTGGGGAGCGGGGCCTCCCTCCAGCTGTTGTAGGCTGGCTCTGCCTGCCCCGTGGAGGACCGCCAGGTGGCCCGAGTCCCCCCGTGGGCAGCGGCAGGCCGGATTCCAACCAGGAGGCTCCCGCGGCCCACCCTCCTGGCGCCTGCTACGCTGCCCCAGACCCAGCGCGAGGAGCAGGGGGCGGCTGGTGTCCCCAGCGGACGGAGCCCCTTCCCTCCAGGAGGCAGGTGCGGCGGGCGTGGCCAGGCGAAGCCCCGCCTACCTGGTCCTCCTCGCCGCCGCCCTCCTCGTCATACTTGAGGATGTTGTCTCGCACGTCGTCCTCGGGGTCGATGAGCAGCTGCTTCGCGTGGCGCTCCTTCTCCCGCCGCTTCATCCACACGACGAACAGCAGGACCATGGCTGCGGGGGGGCACCGGGCAGGCGTGGGTGCCCTGTGTCCCCGGCGCGCGTGGGCTGTGCACCCGTGCTTGTGTGTTCCTCACGTGCGTGTATGTGAGTGGATGCAGGCATGTGGCCCGTGCACGCGTGTGCCTGTGTGTGCACGCACGTCTGCACACTCACACGCATGTTTGGGTACAGTGCACACGTGTGTGGGTGCCTGTGTGGGCCTGCAGTTGCCAGCGCAGAGCCCAGCTGGCTCCACCCTTCTCCCCGACACTGGCCGCTGGGTCTTTCCACGTTGACTTACTTCCTGCCCGCACCCCATTTGGGGAGGCCGCCAGCTCCACACAGCTGGCCACTGGGGAGCAGGGGGGCCACCCCAAGTCTTCCTGAACTTGCTCTTCTGGGCAGGGGGCGGGGTTTGGCGCAGGAGGTAAAAATGAGGGCTTGGGGCTCAGTGTCTGGGCGAGAATCAGAAGGAGCAGGCAAGACGGCCCCATGCTGGGAGGAGGCCTTGCCCGGGGTGGGGTGGGAGGGTGGAGCCCTCATCCTGTCTGGGGACGCAGGTGGTTCTGGGAAACCCAACCAACCACTGGAACTTGGGACCTGGGCGGAGCCAACGGGCACATTCTGTTCCCTGGCTGGTGATTGGTCCCACCGTGTGCACGTGCTGAGAGCCAGTCCAATCAGAGTCCTGGGACAGGGTGGGGGTGGGGCTTCCCTAGCACCCCAGGGAGCTGCCAGCCTTGGGCCGCAGGCTCTGTGGACACCCTGAGCCGCTGCCGTCTCCCGTTACCATGGGGACTGGCTCAGGTGGGATGGGGCGGAGGGGCAGCCCCAGGCCCTGCCGCCGCCCGGCCGCACGGTCCCCCCCGGCCTCACTCACTCAGCAGGATGACGATACAGAGGAGGATGGCCACAATGGCGCCCGTGCCCAGACCAGCCGCTGCCACCGCACCAATGGCGGTGCAGTCCCCGTTCTCGTCACACGGGCACACCTTGACCTTGATGACGGACATGTTGGACAGCGGGGGGTTCCCGGAGTCTGTGACGATGATGGGGACGTCGTACATCCCGGCGTCCAGGTAGAGGATGCGCAGGCTGAGCTGAGCGTAGTCGCCTGTGCAGGGCGGCAGAGCTCCCGCTCAGGTCGGCCCGCCCCGCCCCGCCCCTACGGCCGCCCCAGTCCTTGGCGTGGAGGCCCAAGACCCGCCCACATGCACGCCACCCCTCGCCGTCTGGTTAAAAGGCACTGGCAGGGGCTGGCGCTATGGCAGTGCGTTAAAGCCCCAGCCTGCAGCCCAAATGGGCGCCGGTTGGAGTCCTAGTTGCTCCTCTTCCAGTCCAGCTCTCTGCTGTGGTCCAGGTCCTGGGGCCCTGCACCCACATGGGAGACCTGGAGGAAGCTGCTGGCTCCTGGCTTTGGATCAGTGCAGCGCTGGCCACTGTGGTCATTTGGGGAGTGAACCAGTGGATGGAAGACCTCTCTCTCTCTCTCTCTCTCTCTCTCTGTACTCTTTCAAATGGAAAACAAAAAGGCACTGGCCGTCTCGTTGGCTCCCTGAATGTGTGCAGAGCTGCAGCAGATCAGAGAAAGCCCTGGAGCAGAAACGCCCAATACTGTCTGGAGAAAGCTCTGGGGGAGCCGAGATTGGACGTAAAACTGGCGAAACCCTTAGGTTGCTTGAGGGGCTGGCGTTGTGGTGTGGGGGTCAAGCTGCCACCAGCAGTGCTGGCTTCCCGTATCGGCTGTGCTACGTCTGACCCAGCTCCCTGCTGATGGCCCGGGAAAGCAGCGGAGGACGGCCCAGGTGCCTGGGCCCCTGCACGCACATGGGAGACCGGGAAGAAGCTCCTGGCTTTGGCCTGGCCGTTGCGGCCATTTGGGGAGTGAATCAGCCGACGGAAGATCTATCGCCCTCTCTTTGTAACTGTCGCTTTCAAATAAATAAATCTTTCAGTTTTTTAAAAGCATTATTTTATAGAACGGTGGAGTTACACAGAGAGAGAGAGAGAGATCTTCCATCTGCTGGTTCACTCCCCAAATGGCCGTGATGGCTGGCGCTGGGCCAGGCTGAAGCCAGCAGCCGGAGCCGACACTGCAGATGGCAGCTTAACCTACTACACCACAGCACCGGCCCCAGTAAATAAATCTTTAAAAAAATTATTTGAGAGGCCGCCTGACGGCGAGATGGACAGAGAGAGAGGAAGAGGGCTCCTGTGTGCCTATTCACCCCCTAAATATTCGCACCCGCTGGGCCAGGCCAGATCTGGGTTCCAGGAATTCAATCCAGGTCTCCCACGTGGGTGATGCGGACCCAGCTGCTTGGGCCATCACCCCGTGGGGCAGGGTGGGGCGGGGCGGGGGCGGGGTCTGCACCTGCAGGGAGCTGGAAGCAGGAGCCGGAGCTGGGAGGTGAACCCAGGCCTTGCCCTGTCCTCAAGGCCAGGCCCCCAGCAGCGACGCCCAGTGCTGTTTGCTGAGGTTTCCAGCAGGCGTTGGCACAGGGCTGCCCCACACAGGAGGGCGTCCTGAGGACAGAGGACACGTGGGTGTCCACGGCTATGCACAGGAGGACACCGGACACGTGGGTGTCCACGGCTGCACACAGGAGGACACAGGACACGTGGGTGTCCACGGCTGCACACAGGAGGACACAGGACACGTGGGTGTCCACGGCTGCACTCAGGAGGACACAGGACACGTGGGTGTCCACGGCTGTGCACAGGAGGACACAGGACACGTGGGTGTCCACGGCTGTGCACAGGAGGACACAGGACACGTGGGTGTCCACGGCTGTGCACAGGAGGACACAGGACACGTGGGTGTCCACGGCTGCGCTCAGCAAACCAGCAGGAGGCCCTGGACAGCCCCCGGCCTCACGGGCAGAGCACAGGGATCCCTCCCACAGGAGCCTCCCCGTCTGCTGCTCACGCTGCCGACCTGGCTCTGACCCTGGCCGTGGGCTCACCGTTCAGGCGTGTGATGGTCCAGTTCTTGCGCACGGCGGCCGGGACGAAGGGTAGCTCGAAGACGTAGGGGCCGATGTTGGGGTCGGCGTCGGCGTCGGCGGCCGTGATGTTGATGGCGTTCAGGTTGGGCTTCTCGCAGATCTGCGCCTCCTTGGGCAGCAGCTCTGGGGCGTTGTCGTTGATGTCGATGAGATAGATCTGCAGGGTCCCGGTGCCGCTGGCTGGGGGGATCCCTGCAGGGCAGACACGGGGTGACCACGCAGGGCCCCTCCCAGCACTCCACAGCCATAGCCACAGCCACAGGGTGGCGGGCACCAGCCAACCCCCGGGCCCACGCAGCAGGCGAGACGCACCTGCAGCTGCCGGACACGTGCACGGCTGCGCGAGGCTTCACCTGGAGCCCCCTTTGCTCTGGGGCCTGGGAGGACTTGGAGGATGCTGGGCCGTGGGCCTCTGCAGGCCACCTGTCCCCCTCCCCCCACCTCTCCGTAGCCTGGGACTGCTCGGTTAGAATGAAGCAATGCTGCTTCGGAGCCAGCCGTGAGCACGGAGGCCAGGCCACCCCTGCCTCAACCCTGGTGGACATGTGCCGTGTGGCCAGAAGCTGGCCAGAGACGCTGGAGGCAGTGTCCCGAGTGTGGCGTTGACCTTGCTGACAGCTCCGGGCCCTGACACCAACGGCCCCGTTCCCTGGCTGCAGCAGGTGGGGGGGCACAGAAAGCCCCCCCCCCCGATGTCTCCTTGATGGTGACATGGCACCTGTCTCTGAAGACTGGTGGTGCCGGAGCTGCCTGGGGATGCCCAGGGTCCCAGAGGAGAGGCCCCCTCGCTGCGCTGCACAGCCTGGCTGTGTGGACCCCGGGACGGCGCAGGGCTTTCTGTGCCTCCCAGGCCAGGATCCTCCGCAGGGCCTTGGCCTGCAGAGGGGTCTGGTGGAAGCAGGAGGCTGCTCGGCCCCAACCCCCCGAGCCGAGAGCGCGTGAGTGCAAACCCCGGGCTGGGCACGCGGAGGGAGACGCAGCGGCGAGAAGGGGGCTCCCAGGGGCTCCAGTTCCCCGTTCATGGCTGACATGCTGCCACCTGCTGACCTGCTCCCCCACCCACTGTCCTCGCAGCCTCTTCGACTGCTGGCGACCGAGGCCTTGCCCAGGCCCCGGGAGCGGTGGCTTCCCTCGGCCGTGGCAGCAGACGCACCGTTGTCAGCTGCCAGGAAGGTGGCCTCGTAGACGTTGTTGCTGACGTACAGGGACTCGCGGTCCAGCAGGGCGGCCGTGCTGATCTGCCCGTTGGTGGCGTTGATGTGCAGCCAGTTTGCCGGGTCTGACAGCTTCGAGTATCTGAGAGGATGTGCAGGAAGGAGGTGAGGCGGGGGCCGCCCTGGCCCCCCAGACCCCCGTCCCATCTGCGGGCAGCCGCACCTGCCAGCTGCACGCCCCAGGTCCCGGCCCGTGTCCTCGGATGACCAGGAGGTGTGTCCACCCCCGGCTCCCAACCCTGCACAGGCCCCCGCAGCGGGGCGGGCCGGGACCACTGTGCCCTGCTCTTCCCAGGCCTCCACCTCGCAGGGACCCCAGCCAGCCGGGGCTGAGTGTCCACACGCCGTCCGTGTCCGTGGTCTGGGTGTAGTGGCCTTGCTGACCTGAGACCCCCAGGACTTGGGTGCCACTGGAGGGGCGCTCAGGTCTGGACCTCCCAACCCCCCCAGGGACTTTCTGGCTGTGGGGGTCTCACTGGGCGTTTCAGGGCCTGGGGGTGCTGGGAGGGGGGCTGTGCCCATGGACCCACCTCACTGCCTGCTGCATGAAGCGGTCGGGGTCCACGGCGGGGAAGGTGGTGAGCACAGTGCCGGGGGGCACGCCCTCCTCCAGGCGGATCAGCTTGTGGTTGGAGGGGAAGTAGGGCGCCTCGTTGACGTCCATGACAGAGATGGTCACCCCCGCTGTGGACTGGAAGGACATCTGGATCCCGCTGGCCAGCGGCGCCTGGTTCGACACCATCACGGTCAGCATGAAGGCCCGGTTCAGCTCGTAGTCGACAGCCTGGAACGAGAGTGGGGGCAGGGCTGAGCCGGGCCGGCCCTCTGGGGCCTGTGGGCTGCGGGGAACGAGATGCCGGCCGGCAGCAGGTGGCGGCCCTACTCCGTGGGCCCCTGCGCCCAGGTGGGAGACCCCGAGGGAGCTCCTGGCTTTGGCCTGGCCCGGCCTTGGCTGTTGCAGGCACCTGGGGAGTGAGCCAGCAGAAGGAAGACCTCTCTGTCCCTACTCTTCCTTTAAAATAAATCCTAAAAAAATCCATGTAATTATGATGAAAGAATGAAGGTGTGAGGTCAGCACTCCCATCTCTGGCTGAGTGGCGCCCCCAAAGGTGTCCAGGGCCTCCCCAGACCCTCCCCGGGCAGAGGGGACCCGGCCGCCACATCAGCAGCCGTGCTGAGCGTGGACGGCGACGGCCAGTGAGGAGGGGAGCTCTCGGCTCGCCCCGTGCCACTAAGCTCGTGTTCGGCGCCCGCACAGGCGTGGGTCTCCTGGTCCTGGGAGCCAGAGGCGGCCCCGCTGGGCTGAGGCCAGGACGTCGCAGGGCGGCTTCCCCCGGGGCCGAGTCCGGGAGGCTCCACTTCCTGCGGCCGCCTGTGCTCGCAGCCCCTCCCCCACAAAGGCCAGCAGCGCTGCCTCGTCCAGTCTCTGACCTCTGACCTCTGACCCTCGCAGCTCTCTGGCCTCTGAGATCCCCCGCCGGCCCACAGAGGCCCTCTGCCCTCAGCTTGCTGGGTTCAGTGTGTGGGGGAGGGAGCTGCTGACCGGTGCAGGCCCTGGTGACAGGGGACACCGTCCTGCAGAATCCTGGCTCAGGAGGGCGCAGGAGCGGCAGCATTGCGAAAACACCACCTAAACCCCGCGGGGGAGAAGGACCCCAATTTGCCATCCCTGGGTGGACGCTGGTGACATGCGGAGGTACAGGGGGGAGGCCCAGGGCTGCAGGTGCCCGCCAGGGCGGGGGGAGGCCCGGGGCTGCAGGTGACTTCCAGGGCAGGGGGGAGGCCCGGGGCTGCAGGTGACTTCCAGGGCAGGGGGGAGGCCCGGGGCTGCAGGGCCTGCCGGCTGCCGGGCCAGTCTGCTTGCGGCTCTCCACTGCCTGCCTTCCTTGCAAACACCTGACCTCTCTTGGCCTGTTCTCAGTCCCGTTCGAGCTGCTCTGGGACTGCAGCTGCCCGGTAGCCTCACGCTAAGCGCCGCGTGGCTGGGGACGTTCACCGCCCTCCCAACCTGCTCTTCCCGGCTCGGACGCACAGGGACGCGTGCCAGAGGACGGAGTCGCGGCTGTGGCAGCGAGAGGCCCCCAGAAGTAAGTCTGAGAGTAGAAAAGCCCGACCGGTCCAAGCCGCTAGCAAGGTTGAACTGACAGCTGGCCGTCCGTCCCATCCCAGCCTGGCCAGCCCCAGGGCGGCTTCACGACCACGCCCCCAGCCCCCCCAGCCCCCCCAGCCCCCGCCTGGCCCACAGGAGGGAAGGAAAGCCTCCGGGCACCCCGGGAGCCTGGTCCGTCCCCTGCACCCCAAGCGCCCGAGAAGGCCTGCGGGAAAGGACTCAAACGCACGAGACCCTGAGACGCAGCCCTGCGCGTGCCGCACCGGCGCCGGGCGACTCCAGTGGGTTCCCCCGTTTGCCAGGGCGGCAGGGGTCACGGGAGGCCCTGGGACGGGGGCACCCAGGGCACCCACCTTGACCACGGTGACCAGGCCCTCGTTGGTGACGGGGTCCGTGCGGATGCTGAAGTGGCCCGAGGGGTCCCCGCTGATGACGCGGTAGACGGCGTTCCAGCTGGCCGAGTGCGGCTGGTCTCGGTCCAGCACCGTGAGGTTCGCCACCACCGTCTCCACCCGGTTTTCAGGGACCTCCCCCGCGAACTGGAAAAGGCCAGAAGGGAGCGCATTACAGCCTGAGGGCTGCGTCGGGACCCCTGCAGCCACCCCAGGAGGGCCCTGAGAGCACCGGGGCCCTGCAGCCACCCCAAGAGGGCCCCTTCGTGGGCCCCGAGAGCACTTGGGGTCCTGCAGCCACCCCAGGAGGGCCCCGAGAGCACCGGGGTCCTGCAGCCACCCCAGGAGGGCCCCTTCGTGGGCCCCGAGAGCACTGGGGTCCTGCAGCCACCCCAGGAGGGCCCCGAGAGCACTGGGGTCCCCCAGCCGGCGCCCAGCGAGACCGAGGCTCGCATCTGCCCACTCTGCCCCAACCAAACCGAGCCTTGCACACACGTGTGCACACACACGCACACACCCAGGCCTTCATCTGAACCCTGCCTGGCCCTTGGCGTTGCCCAGAGGAGCCAGGCGGGCGGCTGGGACCCACAGGTGACTGAGTGGGCCCCGGGCCCGTGGCTGCTGCGGCCCTGACCTCCGCCTGAGGTCATTTCTGGCTCTTCAGCGAGGGCCCTGCCGTGTGTCCCAGGCCCTGGCACCGGGCAGTGGGCTTCTGAGCCATGAGATGCTGGAGCCGGGCTTGGCTAAAGGCCCGGGACTCCCGCTGTGCCCAGGGCCCAGTGAGGCTGCCGAGGGCCCGGGCGGGGTCGGGAGGCGCTGCCTGTGCGCCGGCCCTCGGAGTAACCCTGGTCTCATCCTGCTTTTCAGAGACCTCGGGGGCCACCACTGGGCGCCCCAGAGCCTGAGTCTCTGCAGCCCCAGGGGCTCAGCGGGCCCCTCCCAGGAAGAGGACGAGAAGGGTGCATGGGGCGACCACACAGGAGGTGGCGGTGGCCAGGGAGCGGCTGCCACTCACACCACGGGTCCAGGGCGCCCCATCATGGCGCTTGAGCCGAGTTGGGGGCAGGGGCTGTGTCCACCCGAGCCACGTGAGAATGGTCTTCCACGGCATCTCCAGACCTGGGGGCTGTGACCCCCCAAGACACAGCAGCCGCCGCTCACAGTGAGGACCCGGCTACTGAGCACTCCCTGTGGGGGCTGCGTCACCCAGGGCCACCGTCACCTGCCCTCAGCTGGGGGTCAGGAGTGGGCCCTCGAAAGGCAGCAGGCAGCACCCTGCACCCACAGAGGCCTGGCCCAGCGAGCAGGGGGCCCAGGCCTGGGCACACGGACCTGGCTTTGCGAGGAGTGAACGAACGAGTGGACACATGGACAAGCAAATGAAAGCCTCGCGTGGGCTCAGAGCCCGTGCCCAGGGGGCTGGAAGACGCCGGGTCCTGTCGGCCTCCTGGGGCGCGCCCTGCTGCCCGCCGGCCCAGACCACGGTTCTGCCTGCACGTGGTGCGCGTGCATGGCCATCCCAGCACCGCGGCTGTTACAGACTCTGCGTGACTCCACCACGGCTGGATGTCACCAGGACCGCCGGCTCCACCTGCAGGGGACCCCTCATCGCGGTTCAGAGGCGCCGTCCGCGTGGGTTACAATGTGGAGTCTGCGGCAGCCGTGGCTGAGTGCCCGGGGCTGGGACCGCGGCTGGGCTGGGCTCGTCAGAGAGGCCTCAGGGAGGGGCGGGCGCCCAGTCCTCAGCAGACGTGGGCAGGGACGGTGCCCACTGGAGGGATGACAGTGGCTGCTCAGGCCCACAGTGTGGGGTCCACAGCAGGTGTTTTAGGGAGGGGCACTGCCCACCAGACTGGGGCTCTTGGGACGCCGGGTGGGGCAGGGCAGCCCCTGCCAAGGCTGCTGTCCGCCGGTCCCGGTGAGCTGGGAGACGGCGGGGACTTGGCTGGTGCCTTGGAAGGCGCTCCAGGGGGGCAGGGGCCGTCCCAGGGGCAGGCAGAGGTCTGGGGCAATGGTGCGGCCCCTCCCAGGTCCCACAGCGGCCCCGCCAGGGCCATCTCTGCCTGTGCAGTTCTCGCTGTGGTCTCCCCGTCGGCCTGCAGCAGGTGGAGCTCTCGTCCCTTCAGTGGGCTGAGCGGGCAGGGTGGCCCTTGGCAGGGGCTGGCGGCGGTCTCGAGGCCAGGGAGGCCCTGCCCTGGGACCCCTGCTGCTGACTGCGCTGCACTGGCCCAGGCCTCCCCCAGCAGGTGATGGGGTCGTCACGCCCAGCCCAGGCCGCACCCTCAGCGCAACCTCTGACTCTCTGGGGTCCCTTCACCCACTGGCTGTCGCTGTGGATGGTCGCGGGCTCTGGTCTGATTCCACCTGCCTGTGCAGCAGGGGACTGCCGGTCTGGGCACTGGCCGGCCTCCCGACGGCTGCCAGAAGGTGCAATGGGTTGAGCATGGGTGCAGTGCCAGTGCCCAGGCCGGCGGGCATCTGTGTCCTCCCAGGGCCCCGCATCCTGTCCAGAGTCAGCGAGGCCATTATGGACGGGAGCACCAGCCGACAGGCACGACCACCAGAGGGGCCCCGAGGGGTCACCCCTGGCCCGGCCCCGTGCAGCCAGGTGACCTCTGAGCCTCCGCTTGCCCAGCTCAAACCCAGGCCAGGACACCTGCCTGCCGGCCTCCCCGGGAAGGTCCTGTCCCACCTGCCATTCTGAGAGCCGGCGGCCCCGCCATGGCTGTTCTGGGGCCACACTCTCCTGAGCGTCCCTACAGACGCTGGTGGGTTTGGTAATCTTCAGGCCAAACTCGGCCCGTGGCCTGCCTTTGTAAATAAAGTTTGATTGGCACACAGCCACCGTGGGGCGGGGTGGGGCAGTCGCGACAGGACGGCCGCCACAGCCAGCTGTTTTCAGGAAGCGGCTGTGGGCACCTGTTCTAGAAGCCAGCCCCTACCTCCATACCTGGCCTGGGGTGGACACGGGCGCGTCAGGCCCTCAGGCTCAGTGCCGGCACTCATGCCCCCAGCAGCAGGGGAGGGTCCCGCGGACACGGCAGAGCTGGGCTGCCCAGTGCTGCCGCAGGCCTGCTACGACCTCCAGGCTCCTGCTTTCTCAGCTTCCAGGTGCGGGGACGCGGGAGCTGCGGGTGGACGCAGGCGTGACCGTGACCGGGGGGAGGTAGCCGGCACAGGCAGCAGCCGGTCTGGCAGCGTCGGCGGGCCAAGGTGCCACGGCCGGCAGAGCGGCTCTGTGCCTGCTGGGCACTCCTGGCCGCTCGGAGGTGAGCGCCACTCCCTTCTTTGGCTGCTGGATGACCAGGTGGGTCCTGGTGCTGCCCGCGGAGTTTCAGCGGGGACCCCCTCGGAGCCCTACCCCCATGCCGCCCTCCTGAGTCGGGGAGGGGGGTGAAGTCTAGGAAGTCGCTCCTAATTCCCGCACGTTCACCACACGCGCAGCAGGAAGTGACGATTTTCTCATCCCCCCCCCCCCCCACATGATGACTCTGAGGTCTCTGCAGAACTCAGCGTGGGAGGCCCCGGGCCTGGGGCAGGAAGGAGGCAGAGCCGCAGAGCCTCAGGCTGACCCGGCCCCGCCCCTGGCCCCGCCCCTGGCCCCGCCCCGCCGGCAGAGAGGAGACCCAGGGTGGGAGCGCAGCGCAGCCTCCCCGCTCCAGGCTGGCGGCTGCGGGGGCAGCCGTGACCACACGACATCCAGCAGGGCCCTGGGCCTCGCGCAGGCCACCCTGAAGGGGAGGGGCCCGGCCCCGCGCAGCAGCACCCCAGCCCTGGCTCCTGTGCGCCGCCGTCACCTCCAGCCGCGAGGCTTCGCAGTCAGGACACGGGGCCTGTCTGTGGCCACACAGCTGTCAGCAATGCAGCCCGACCCCGACGTGGGGCCTGAGTGATGGTGAGGCGGCCCTGGAGGGCATGGGGCTTGCCTTGGTCCCACGGCCAGCAGGTCAGGCTCGCGAGGCGCCCCACGCAGGAGCTGCAGAGCGAGGGGCTTGTCCAGTGGCCCCCGGGCGAGGGGAGTGCAGGCGCCACCCTGGGCCTTGGAGCCGTGGCCTCAGCTCCGCCTCTCCTGGGGTGGTCACTCTGAGCATATCCGTGCTCACTGGGCTGGGCGGAACATGGCCGGCAGGGGCTGGAGACCCCTTCCTGAAACAGGGGCCTAGAGCCGAACTGGCCCTGGGGGCCCACGGGGTTAGAGGTCGGGGCAGGATTCAGGCCCGATTTGCCTCCTCCAAATCCCTGCTCTCAGTACTCGCAGCCGCAGCTTCTGCCGGGGGTGCTGGGCAGGCGCGCCGTGCCCCCAGAGCCCCTTAGCCGCCGTCCCTGGAGCACGGGGAGGGCCCATAACCAGGGTCACCTGCTGTGCGCCCAGGCTCCCGGCCCCGTTTCCTGTTTGCACGGAGCAGCCCGCGCCCTCCGCAGGTGTCGGCCCCTCCCATGCCTTCCCTGCGGTCCCGGGGGAGGGAAGGGCTGGACTCAGCCTGGGCTCAGCCCTGAGTCGGCGCTGCCTCTGCCCCAGCCCTGGCCTCGTGGGGACCGGCCGGATCCCTGCAGAAGTCACCCCACACGTGGGCCCCAGACTCGTGCCCGCTGCCTTTGGCCGGCTATGGCGAGGGCTCGGGGGGATGAGCTCCGTAGGCGGCTGGACCCGCAGTGCCGGCTCCTCTTGGCCCCAGGGAGACGCAGTCAGGGGACCTTGGCCTTGGGGATTTGCCCTCAGATGGACGCCCCCACCCGCTGGCTCCTCCTCTGGAGCTGGTGGCCACGCGATGTTCATCAGGAGGAGCCGCGGCCGGCCCAGCGTCCCCAGGGAGGCCGTGGCCTTGCTCTAACCCTCTTACCTCCTAGCAGGTGTGAAGGAGTGAGTGCGAGTCCTGACTCCTGGGAGGTGGGGCAGGGCCCACGAGGACGCGCACCCCCCAGACGCTGCCTGCCCGGGGCTCGAGGTCGGGGGAAGCACCTCCCGGGCCTGCGCCCAGTGCCCTCTGGTGAGCACAGCCTGGGGCGCTGTCAGCTCCTCCCACGGCACCCTCGTGTCCGCGGCCGCCACGCTGCACTCGCACTTCTGAGACAGCTTTCTGTCCGAGGAGGCAATGGCGACTTCCGGTGGGGTCCGAGCACAGAAACCGGAAGAGGGGACCCGGGGC